GGGGAAGGGGAGAAACAGCTTGGGAATCAGCCCTTTGTGTGCCCAGGCCGGTCTCTGTTTATAACCTGCAGTCGCTCCGCAATATTTAGGGTAGGTCCTCGAGAGATCAGGCTGAGGCTGTGTCACTGGACACTGTGATGAGCCACTGACACCCATCATCATATGCCAATACTCAACGAACTAAAGAGGGCCCATTTTACATGCAAGGAAACAGAGAGGTTAAGCCACTGACCTGGCGTCACACAGCAAATGGTAACATGGTTGAAAGGTTTGGTCCCAGGGAGTCTAGCTGCAGAGTGGCAATGTGCACAGTGGTTAGTGTTCAGCTTTGAACCTTGAGTCTCCCACTAACTCATTAGCTGTGTGACCCTGAACCAATTACTTAGCCTTTCTGTGCCTCATAGGCTTTTTAATGAGTTAAGGTCCATGGAAGTCTTAGTATAGGGAATGGCATACAGCAATCACTCCATGTTAACTTCTATTATTACTATTTTTTTTTTGTTGTTGTTGATATAGGGTCTTGCTCTGTTGCCCGGGCTAGAGTGCAGTGGTGTGACCACAGCTCACTGCAAACTCACATTCCTGGGCTCAAGCGATCCTCCTGTCTCAGCCTCCTGAGTCCACCATGCCTGGCTCCTTAATTATTTTGTAGAGATGGGGTCTCACTATGTTGCCCCATCTGGTCTTGAACTCCTGGCCTCCAGCGATCCTCCTGCCTCCGCCTCCCAAAGTGCTGGGATTACAGGTGTGAGCCACCGCATCCACCATCTATTATTACTTTTACTCTTTAGTCTTCAAATGATTGCTTTCCCCTTTGCCTCCAGGTTTTATCATACCGTCCCCTCATGTGGGCATGACCTCTCCCGTCATTGTATGATATTCACCTTCCCTGACCTCTGGGCTGGGTCAGGGCCTTGTGCAGCCCCCATCACGGGTCTGAGGGCCCAGTGCTAGAACCACCCGGTGACACGTCCCTCCCCCTGCCGCCCACACCCTGTGCTGTGAGTCCCTCGAGGGCTGGGACCAGGGGGGTCCCGGGCACCGCTCTGTCCTCAGCACCTGGCATAGGGCCCAGCACGCGGCGGTTGCTCAACTGGTATTCGGTGAACGCGCAAAGTCACGGACACCGCACCCCTCCCCCCACTGCCAGTGCGGGCTTCTAAATTATGAAGGCGACGTCTGTGTTAGACCTCGACCCCCAGAAAGGCAAGGAACCGTGGTAGCAAAACAGATTGTCATTATTGTACAGCTGGAGGTGCGGGGTGGTACCGGATGAAGACACAGCTGCCCGATGCTCAGGAGGGGAAGAAGGGCCGGTCTGTCTTCTTCCGAACCCGGGTCCCAGGGAGCCGGGCGCCTCCCCTGCACAGGTCCCCTGCCCCTCCCGACACACACTTTAGGGGAGAGGCAGGGGTGCGAAGCGGCGGCGTGGGGGAGGGGGACCATCTGGTCCCAGATGTGCAGATGATCACAACAGTTCCCGCGCGCTGGCTGTCTTGTTGACTTTGGACAGGCCTTCCCGGAACCCAGAGTCGGTCATTCTGCAGACAGACACCAATGACGACGCTGTCCAGAGCTCAAGGGCAGCAGGCCCCGTCCCTAGGGCTGCCCTGGCCCCGCCCACCCCAAGCCCCACCCCAGAGCTCACGTAGCCCCGCCCACCCTGCGGTCTCCATAGAGCCCATAACCACGCCCCCAGAGCGGCCTGGCCCCGCCCGTTCCATCCCAGATCCGCCTGGCTCCGCCCACCCTGCGGCCAGAGCGGCCCTGGCCCCGCCCACTGCACCCCCAGAGCAGTCTCGGCCCCTCCTTCCTATCCCTCTGCACCCCCACGACCCCACCCCAGAGCAGCCGCCACACCCGGACTCACACTTGCTCCATCTGGACATCCTCCTCATCCTCCTGCGGCAGCTGCAAGTACGGGTTGTCCCCCGCGGGCTGGAACTTGTAGCCCGTGAGCACGAAGAAGGCGAGCGTGGAGCCCTCCACCAAGAGCTGCGGGACACGGGCAGAGCCCGGGTGTCAGGTGCACGCCTGCCGCACCGCCGCCGTCTGGCCCAGCCCCCGTCCTTCGGCCTCACCTGGTACAGCCACTGCCACTGGAAGGGCACGGCCACGCGCAGCAGGATGGCGATGATGCGAGTGAAGTAGACGTAACAGATGACCTGCGGGACGCGGGCGGGCGTGGGGCGCAGGGGACGGTGGGGACAGAGGACCGTGAGGCTGGGACTTCGGGGTGGGGGCCTCAGGACGTGTGTGCCAACGGGCTGGTTGTCCCTGGCTGTCCCTGGTTGTCCCTGGCGGCTGCCAGCCTCCCTCCCCCCATTCCCCGCCCCCGCACGCGGGCTCCTACCATGACGTAGTAATGCCGGAACAGCTTCAGCTTGGCCAGGTTCACGGCCACTGGGGGCGGGCACACAGTGGGGTCAGGGGAAGGAGACCAAGGGTGGGGAAGGGGAGAGCCTGGGGCAGTGTCCCAGGGCCAGAGAGTCTGCAGGGACGTCCCAGGGGCAGAGAGGCCAGGTGGGGCGCCCAGGGAGGCAGTGAGCAGGGGCTGGGCAAGAGGCCAGGAGGGGCATCTCGGGACAGAAAGAAGGGCCCTGGGCAGAGGTTCTCGGGGGTCATGGCCTCACCCTTCCCGTCTGTGCCAGACGCCTCCTGGAGATGCCGGATGGACCTGGGACAGGTGTGGGACACAGGGCGTGGTCAGCGCCGGCCCCGCCCACGTGCGCAGAGGGCGGGTCTCCGCCGGGGTGGGGACAGGACGCATCCTCACCAGACCACGGGGAAGAGGATGGCGCCACAGCAGATGAGGTCCACCAGGAACAGGATCTCCTTCCAGAGCCCGTAGTCGCTGGCGCCCTCCTCGCGGGACTCGATGACGATGTAGGCCACGTTGGCCAGCACCTGTGCGGCCGGGCGGCGTGGGTGGGGCGCTGCCTGACCTGCGCCCCTCGTGTCCCCTCTGCCCTCTCCCGGGGCACCCCCACCCCAGACGCACCTGCAGGGGGATGACGATCCCAAAAATCTTCTTCTCCTTATCGGACAGGACATACTTGACGAAGGCCCAGCCGGAGCCGATCAAAGCGATGGTGATGAAGAGGAGGGCGCCCTTCAGCCTGGGGCAGCGGAGGGACGGCGTGACAACGAGGTCAGGTGGGGGCGCGGCCCTGCCCTGCCCGCCTCCGCCACCTGCCCCGCAGAGAGGCGCCGCTCACAGGTGCGTGATGTAGTGCATGACCGCCAGGCCCTCGATGGGGTGGCCCTGGCTGTTGATGAAGTAGTAGTTGATCTGGGGGTGGACAGACGGGCGGTCAGACGGACGGGCCTCCCACAAGCCCAGGGTCCGCGGACATTCCGGGGGCGGCCTGGTGGCCCTCTTCCTCCCGGCCCGCCCCCGGCCCCCGGCCCTCACGCTGTGGAAGAGCAGGGAGATGCTCTTGGTGAAGGCCAAGGCCGCCATGAGCCAGTGGATCTTGAACACGTTGTACCTGGCGGGCGAAGGGGGCACGGAGCATCAGCTTGGCGCGGCGGGGGCTCCGCGAGGGGAGGCGGGGGACCCGCGGGGGCAAGGGCATTACGTGTTCCTGCAGAGGACCGACACCCAGAAGATGCCGGCGGCCAGGAAGCAGGCGGACATGACCATGTAGAGCTTGAAAAGGGGAATCTCTGCGGCCGACAGGAAGCCCTCGGGGTTCTTCTCCCGGATCATCACCTGGTGTGGGGACAGAGGTGGGTGCTGGTGGTGGCACGGTCCTGGCGAGACCCCTCCTAGTTCTCCTGCTTTCTAGCGGGGCGACTTTCTCAGGCGACTCCCCGAGCCTCAGTTGGCCCATCTCTCAAATGGGTCTAACAGCTTCCACTTCCCCCCACTGCCACTGGGGGGCTGTCGGGAGCTCAACTCCTGGCGGGCGGCGCATGCTCCCTGGCTCACCGTGATGTCGAACGGATGCTCCTTGCCCGGAACCGAGTTGTTGCAGTTGTGGAAGTTGAGGTTGTACTGGCCCTCCTCCGCCCTAGAGCCGATCACCACGTGGAACTGGGCGAGGGGAGAGGGGGCTCAGCTTGGGGGTCTGCTGCCCTGCGGGGTGGGGGCAGGGGGGCTGCAGGAGCCACAGACACTCACGCTGAAGTTGTAGGAGTTGTTGAGGTGGCCCAGACCCAACACCAGCTCCTTGCCCTTCCTGCCGGGGCCCTGAGGGGACAGAACCCCTCCGTCAGCCCCGGTCCCCACACCCCCACCCCCCACCCTGGGGTAGGCCTTCCTCCCTCCTGCCCTGCCTCTGCCAGACCTGAGACACGGCAGGCTGTGGCTTGGCCTTGTTGACCGCGATGGCCCCTGTAGGAGACGGGTGACTGTTTTTAAGAGGTGGACGGACAGAGGGATGGCAGGAAAATGGGGAGGCAGGGGTGGGGGGGTAGACGCTCATGGTAGCCTTGCCCTCCCACCTCTCTCTTCTGCACGGCCAGCCCGACTCACCGCTGTCCACCTTGGGGGTGGCCGTGGGCCCGGGCTTCGGGAGCCCTGGTTCAGAGGGCAGGTCGGGCAGGAGCCCGGGAGAGATGAGTAACTTCTTCTGCTCCCCATACTGCCGCACCTGGACCCTGGGGTGAGGGGCGGGGATGAGGCTGGGAGGCTGAACCCTGGGGACAGGCCTCCTCGGCCCACTGCATGTCCTCCCTGGGGGCTGGCGTCCAGCTGAGTCAATGGTCACCAAGTTTCAGCATTTGGCTACTACCCATGAAGGTGGCAGGTGGCTGCCACATTCCTATACTGCCTAGAAATTACAGTATTTGTCATTTCCCACAACATCAATCCACTCTTTCTACTTGAGTGTGTTATTCAACAAACAAATAAACAAACAAAAACAGCGTTATCTACACAGAGGCAACACGGTATTGTCAGACCCTAGCACCAGGCTGCCTGGGTCCGAATCCCAGTTCTCGGGACTCAGTTTGCTCATCCGAAGAATGGGGACAATAACAATATATGGGATCGATGAGTTAATACGTGTTAAAGCCCTCAGGACATTGCCTGGACACCGGAAGCATTCAGCAGCCGTCCGCATCCCCGCATCCGGGTCTTCTCCCCTGAGATCCCAGCACTGCCCGAGTACCTTTCCCCCTCTTCTCCCTTCCAATAATCAGAAGGCCTGAAGGTGACACTAAAAAGTGAGTGGCTTTCTCACTACGCAGCGGGCTTCTCGTTCTACCCAGTTGGCTCAGGTGCATCTCGCCCAGGGAAACACGAATGACGGTCTTAATGAGGTCCTGCCCCCCTCCACCCCCACCCCCCAACTCACTGCTGATCCTTGGTGTTGATGAGGAAGAGGACCAGGAAGTTGCTACTGTTTTTCTGGAAAGGGCAGTCGCGAAAATCCCGGGTCTGGGGAGTGGGCAAGAAGGAAGCTTGGGTTACCCTTTCCCATGGGCCCTGCCCTGCCCGGCCCTGCCTCCCTTCCCATCCACCCAGGTCTCCTTTTGCTCCTGTCTCTAGCAAAGAACAGGCAGGGGCCTCTGGGTTACAGACGCATAAGACTGACAACTCCCCCTCCAACACACACACACACACACACACACACACACACACACACGAGCCACCCAACCACCCAGCCCCATCTCCCTCCCTCCCCACCTCTACTCACTGAGTAGGATCGTGAGCTGCCAGACTGGACCCGGCTCAGGCTGAACCCCATCTGGCGGATGAAAAGAAAGGGGGACAACGTGAGGGACCCCAGCAGGCACCCCCACCATCAAGCCATCCCTTTCATAGCCATTACAAACCTAACCTCACATTCACTGAACACCAAGCATGCGCTAGGCCCCACGTTCTCTCTCTCTGAACTTCCCAATCACCTCCCCTGTCCCTCCATCCTTTTCCTTTCACTCCTAACCATCCTCTGTGACCCAACCTGCATGTCACTGCCGCAGGGAGACCTTCAATAGCCCACCTTGTTTTTTCCCATTTAAAATGTGAATGGTTTCCCCAGTCTTGGGCTCTGGAATCCCAGCACACTCAGGTTTGAATCCAGGCCGTCAAGTTTCCCAGTTGTGTGACTCTGAGTAAGTCACATACCTCTGAGCCTGTGACTGTACCCATAAAGTTGGCTTCAGTGAATTTGTGTAGCATCCCTGAGAGGTGGCTATGAGGAAACAGGTGCATGGAAAGTGCTTTGCATGGTACCTGGTACCTAGTGTGCATTCAATAAATGCTAGTTATGTACTCTGACTTCAGGAACTGGTGCTGTCTTATTCATTCATTGCTATGTCCCCCAGCTCTTTAAGGAAAGAGTCACCTAGTAGTTGGGCTCGGTGGCACTAGTCCCAGCTGCTTGGGAGGCTGAGGTGGGAGGATCACTTGAGGCCAGAAGTTTGAGGCTGCAGTGAGCTACGATCACACCTGTGAATAGCCACTGAACTCCAGCCCCGGGCAACATGACAACACCTCACCTCCAAAAAAGATAAAAAGGAAAGCACCCAGCACATATTTTGGAGGTATTATTATTGCCGGGTAACAGAGGAGGAAGCTGAAGCTCAGAAAAACCAAGGGACTTGCCCACGATCACATGGGTGAGAGGCAGAGCTAAGAGGATGGGAACCCACAATCGGGTGTGTGTGAAGGCCGAGCACCCCGCCCTCCTCCAGCAAACTCCTCACACCCCTCACCAGCAGGGACTTCTCTTCTTTCTCCTGGAGGCCCAGCCGCAGGAGGCTCAGCTCCACCTCCAGGGAGCCATTCGTGTAGAAGCCGAAGCTGTTGAGCGGAATGTCTGCTCGCTTCTCCCCCTGCCGGGAGAGCCAGGAGGCAAAGGCAGCTCAGACTTGTCTCCACCAGCGCAGCCCCAGAGCTCTGGTTCGAGACCCCCAAAGGGCCCCCTGGTACCCCTTTATTTAGGAAAAGCCCACAGGATGACAAGAGAGCTTAAGAGAGCCTGACTCCCTGCAGGGACAGGGTGGCCGCAGGTCCTCCGACTGCTGTTTCGAGAGTCCAGGAAGGGAAATCCTGGGGCACCTGGAAGTCCCCCCCCACGGGGCGAGTGCCACCCCCAGAGCAGTTGTTCCCCTCGGTGGGCCTGGCCTTCACCTCCAGGACAATTCTCAGGTTCCAACTGAGCCCCCCGCAGCGTGCCGAGATGTCAGCTGAGCCCCCGAGATCCCAGTGAGCGCCCAGGGGAACCCACTCCAGCACTCCCACGACCCCCCACCCCCACCCCACGGAAGGCGCCCGGGGTCCCTGGCGCCCCCATAGTGACCCCAAGGATTTAAAGGGCCAAGACTCGGGGGTCCCCAGCGATGGAGCCCCGCCCCCCGATGGGCGGGGCGCGACCCCGGCGTGGCCGGGCAGGCAACTCCATCCCGAGGACCGTGGGGGATCCTGGGACTAGACCACTCCGGGCCTGGAAACGGGGGGCGCCGGACCGCTCCATCCCGCGCAGGAAGCGGGGGAGGTCGGACGAGACCACTCCACGCCAGGGGCTTTTCGGGGACAAAGTTGTGGGCGCCCGCCCCCGCCCGCCGCGCGGTGGGTCTCACCGTCAGCACCAGCCGGTGGATGCGCCCAGAGCAGCCGCCCAGCAGCAGCAGCAGAAGTAGCCGCGGCCCCCACTCCGCGGGACTCCCGCGGCCGAGCCCCCTCCTCTCGCTCACTGCCATCTCTGGAGCCACCGCCTTCCCCGACTCCGCCTCTGACGCCCCCAAGCCCGCCTACTGACGAGCCAATCGCCGCACGGCAGTGTCCCGCTGTCGCCCTACGATGTCAGATGGACAGCACTGGCGCCGAATGGGAGTGTGGATACCGCTTAACCCCGCCTCCACGCCCACCAATCGCTAGAAAGATTTTCCCGGATGTAATTTGATAAACAGTTGATCCAACCAATGAAGATGGACCTCATAGCCGCCCCTTGAAGCGGAATTCCTCCACCTACTCTCAACGGTCCAGGACTACATTACCCAGAATGCAGAGGGCGCAGACAAGCTCAACAAGGCATTAAATAAACTACGTTTCCCAGTATCTCCAGGGACGAACTTCCCTTTCTTACCCCAGGGATGTGGCTCCCAGCCAGAGCTCAGGCTTTTGGTAAACACACGCATATGTTAAGGCCTGTCCTGTTCTCCTTATCTTCCTGGTACGCGAGAGGCCTAAGCCTAGCTCCAGGATACGTCTTGACCCTAGCATGACCTATGACCCCAGGCTGAGTCCCCATGCTTAGAATAAGCCTCCTACTATTCCACAGGGAGGCAATTGGAAGCCCACTACCCCCAGATCGCAGGCTAGACTTCATCACGGGCAGAAACCTCACCCTAGGTGAACCCCCTATCACCCTAGGTGAACCCCCTACCTGAGCTGAGCCCCAACTTCAGCCTGAAAGTCTGACCTCCCCCGCACCCCCTCCCCACTGACCCTTAAACTCTGGCTTAGCCCCTGACCCCCACCTAACTCCGGACTAGGCCAGATCCTTGGGCCAAGTTCGAGTCCCTGACCCCTTACGCGGTTTCTGGAACTTCTGCTACGCCCCCGACCCCAGTCTGAGACCCCCAACCCAGCGACCTGGGCCGCATCCCAATTCCAGTTGGAGGCGCTGACCAGCGCTGAGCTGAGAACTTTGCTGGGCTGAGCCCCAAGCCCAGACCACTGAAGCCACTGGAGCACAGCCCACTTTGCAACCCGAGGTTTTCTAGCCCAGAAGCCACCAGCAGGTGGGGCCAGGTCCCGGCAGAGCCATTAGTCCCAGTGTGGGCTCCCCGAGCTCTCAGCCGCCCCCCTCCCGGGCGGGGGGCTCCCCGGGGTATTTCTCTGTAAGGGAGCCCCAGAGCTCCGCGTAAGGGAAACCTGGCCCCGGGGGGCCCAGCCCAGCCCCAGCAAGACGTCTGTCATCTCTGTAGCTGCAGAGAAGGCGCCAAAGGCAGGAGAGAATGGGGGTAGGAGTCGCTGGTGCCCGTCTCTCCTTTCATCCCGGAGCCTCAAAGGGATTTACAAGGTGCGAACAGACTTTATGGAGGAGGTGACAGTCTTCCATGCCCCAGGGCCCGGCATCCGGGAGAGGGGCGGAGTCGGGCTCCCAGGGGCCATACTGATAATTAAACCAGATTAAGACCTTCGTGGGTGAGACTGGAAAACCGGCAGGTGCAAGCACGAACTGGATGGCAGCCGGGGAAAGGCCTGGGCCGGGCGCCCCAAGGACGGCCCGTCCTCAGTTTCCCAGCGGAGATTCTGGGGGAGGGAGGGCAGGATGCGGTGCCTGAGCTAATGGACCCGGCCTTGGCGGAGGCGCGTCCTGGGCAAAATCGAAGTCCTTCCATCCGCCCTGTGGCCGGAGGGACCAGACCATTAGTGGGACGGACGTAGACGCCTGGAGCCGGGCCGGCCCGCAAGAGCCAGGTGACCTCAGTTTCTCCCTGCGACGGGGTGGGGGAAGGACTTCTTTGGTCTGGGGTTTTTAGTGTCCTGGCCCTTTAAGGAATGGATGAGGAGAGAGGGGAAAGGGAGAACCATCTGGGGCAGGGGAGGAGGGCGGGAAGATGGGGGGGTCCTTTAAGGGGTCGGTCCAGTGGCGTCGGGTGGCACCGGTCCTTTAAGAGGGGGCGGAGCGTCCGTTGGGCCCCGCCTGCTTGAGGGCCCCGCCCTTAGAGCACCGCGCTTGTGCTCTACGCAGGCGGGGGCGTGGCAGAGCGAGCGGGGGCGTGGCTTGGCCCGGAGTGGGCGGGGCGGGGCGGGGCGGGGCGGGGCCAGGAGCACTGCCCTGGGCTGAGTCTCCCCGCGAGGGCGGAGGGCGGCGGGGACCGGGCGCGGCGGCGGCGGCCAGCATGGACTGGGGCACCGAGCTGTGGGTGAGTCCAATCGGCCCGGCTCCGGGTTCCCCCTTGCTGGGGTCCCCCTTTTATCCCCAGCGTACCTTAGCGGGGGCTCCGCGCTTTCCCCTCCACCCGCCCCTGGGTGCCTGCCCTCCACTCTCCGCCCCCCTCTCGGAGTTTCTCCGCGAGTCCGTGTGCACGCCCAGGGGCTCAGCGCGACCTCGCAGGAGCGGCGCAGGGAAACTGAGGCACGGGCTCGAGAGAGAAGCGGGCAGAAGTCCTGGGACCAGGCCGGGGCGGCCGGGCGAGGTCACCTATTTTGAGCGCCCCGGCGGGCCGAGCGGCTTATCTTACCGCCCCTGGGTCCCTGCCCGCCGCCCGCCTGTCGGGCCGGGAGGGGGAGGGGGCCCTCTGGCCACCCTCACCCCCACGTGGGATCTAGAAGCCCGGACCGCCCTTTCGGCCGCCTTTAATCTACACCTAAGGACTTGGGGCGCTCATGGAAGGGGAGGGGGCTTCGACGGCCGGCCTCGGCCCCCTCCCCGCCCTCCCCCGGCCCGCCCCAGGCACCGGGCGGGGCCGCCCCTGGTCGCTCTAACCTCAGCTTCGGAAGCCCCAGAAGTTCCCTCTTATCCTAGCTGGACCTCTGAGCCCTCCCCTTTCTGGGGGCGGTGGAATCCCTGCGCCTGAGTGCGGCGGGGCCACGGGGCTGCAGGTCTCCCCCCAGCCCGCCGGGCCTCCAGCCCTGGGGTTTCATTCGGAGGCGTAGTGGAGTCAGCGGGGGAAACTGAGTCACACATCGGGGGACCCCCAGGGAGCTCGGTGACTCAGGGAACGTGGTGCCTGCCCCCTGGCCATTGGGGGGGTAGGCCCCCGAGCTGCGAGGAACCCTGCCCCTCTGGTCTTGACTCACGCCGGGCCGGCCGGATTTTCCGGAATCTGGGGGATTAGTAGGAGCCGGGGGGAGTGGCCCTGCCCCATTCCACACTCTCTTGGCGGTCCCGAGACTGGAGACCCTGTCGTCCCGCTGGGGCCCGGGCCCTGTTCTCCGGCCCTTCCCGGGAAGGGGAGGGGGTTCCCGCCAGTTTCCTGCCTCTCCCCGCGCCACGCCGGGCGGCGCCGGGAAGCCACTCCTCCTCCAACCCGGGCGCGCTCAGCCCGGGAGCTCTCGGGACGCCGGGTCTGCAGGCGCCGGTGGCGGTGGGGTCCCCAGGTCGTGACCCCGGCCCTCCCCACTCTCTCCCCCCTCGCCATCGCCCCAGGATCAGTTCGACGTGCTCGAGCGCCACACGCAGTGGGGGCTGGACCTGTTGGACCGATATGTGAAGTTCGTGAAAGAACGCACGGAGGTGGAACAGGCTTATGCGAAGCAACTGCGGTGAGACCCCAGGGTGGACATGCGGGGTTGGGGGGTCGAGGGGGAGCGGGTGGAGGGCTGGCGGGGCTCAGCCTTCACACCTTTGTCTCCCCTTAGGAGCTTGGTGAAAAAATATCTGCCCAAGAGACCCATCAAAGATGACCCTGAATCCAAGTAAGGTTGGAGACTTCTTGGTGGTGGGGGGAGGGCGTGGAATTTTGAGGTCTCACTTCCTCCGCCTCAGCTGGGCCACTGAAGACCCATGACCCTCCCTCAATTTCCCCGTAGAGGTAAAAGCATATATTGCAAGATCCAGACTACCTGGCTGGACATCCTAAATCCACTACTATTTTGCAGGGCAGGTGACTCAAGTTCCCTACCTCTGTTTTCCTCACCTGTTAAATGGGAGGTTGCAACAGTTATACATCTAGCGACTTTGAGCGAGTGACTTAAGTTTTGTGCCTCTGTTTTCCCCATCTGGGAAATGGGCATGCGTGACCACGCTGCCTGCCTCACAGGGCTTGCATGAACATGAACTGAGTTCATGTGTTGAAACAATGCCCAGTTCTAAGGAGCATCTGATTTTATTCTGAGTCCCCCGATTCCAAAATCCGAAAAGCTCTAGAAAGTTTCCAAAGTTTTCTTGGTACACTGTTAGGCGGCAGGCAACCTGCGACCTGAACTGACCTGAATTGTTCATTGTAGTCTTGTTTTTTTTTTTTTTAATCCCACTTACTGTGAATATTCATGCCTTTCACTGTAAAAAGATTTATGGTGTTTGGTTACAGGTTTCTCACCCCAGCCCCACTGGGGTGACGCACACGTAGATGGCAAAAGCATTGGGTGCATTCTAGAAGCATTCAGCTTAAGGGTTGGGGGTGAGGGATGCAGATCAGAATTTGTCGTTGCCTTGGGATGAATGTTTTGGGGTTACCGTTTCCCATTTAGAGGTGGGTCCTGGGGCATCTGGTCCCCGGGGGGGGCCTGACTTCCTGCTCCCCACTTCTCACTGCACCCCAGGTTCAGCCAGCAACAGTCCTTTGTGCAGATTCTCCAGGAGGTGAACGACTTTGCAGGCCAGCGGGAGCTGGTGGCCGAGAACCTCGGCGTCCGCGTGTGTCTTGAGCTGACCAAGTACTCCCAGGAGATCAAACAGGAGAGGAAGATGGTGAGGGACCCCCCCCCCACCTTCTCCGGGTGTTGCTGGGGGCCCCTGCCAGAACCCTGGCGAGCCTCACAGCCCTTCTCTCCACAGCACTTCCAGGAAGGACGTCGGGCCCAGCAGCAGCTGGAAAATGGCTTCAAACAGCTGGAGCATGTGAGTTTGCAGGGGTGGCGGGTGGCTCCTGCCCAGAGCAGCAGGGTTGAGGGTTGCTGCTCAGGGAGCTGCCCCCTTTGTCTGGCCTGGACGTCCTCTCCTGCGTGGGTTCCCAGCACACCCCTTGTCCCTTGTCCCCTGACACAGAGCAAGCGTAAGTTTGAGCGGGACTGCCGGGAGGCGGAGAAGGCAGCCCAGACTGCTGAGCGACTAGACCAGGACATCAACGCCACCAAGGCTGACGTGGAGAAGGTGCGTGTGGCATCTGGGAGAGGCTCGGGGGATCCGGGTGGGATGTGTGTGGCCAGGACCTGACTGTAACCTCCGCCTCGATCTTCCTCTAGGCCAAGCAGCAAGCACACCTTCGGAGTCACATGGCAGAGGAAAGCAAAAACGAATATGCAGCCCAACTACAGCGCTTTAACCGAGACCAAGCCCACTTCTATTTTTCACAGATGCCCCAGATATTTGATGTGCGTACTCCCAAGTTCCCAGACCCTCCTTCCCGAAAACTGCTCCAAAGTTAAACCAACTCCTGCACGTATGTCAAAACCCTAGCTGCGATGTCCCGATCCCTAGACTGAAAGGGAATTAGAAACCTGTGATAATCATGAGCCATGCTTTCACTCCAGCTGTTCTTTCTGCCAGGGTTGCTTTTCATTCCTTTCAAAACTCCTTATTCATTCTTCTAAGCTCCAGTTCTAACAAATCCTCCAAAAAGATCCTCAGATGTCCCTTCTGTTTCAGCCTCGCGCTCCACTCTGTGTCCCAACCCTGGCTCTGGGGGTATCTGTGCCAGATCTTCTTTTTTTCTAATCCCTTGTTCCCTTGTCTCCTCCTTTGAGAAGCCTTTGTAACTCCCTGGGCAAGTGACTTGCTCCGAAATTCCCCCTGGTGCTGTGTCTCGGAGTCTCTGTTCTCTACTCTGTTTCCCCAGCGAGATCGGGCTTGGGGCTGGGGCCATCAGGGCCGCAGAGGGAATCACTCTGCCGCAGGTCCCTCCATGAGCCTCCCTGAGCCACCCTTGCCCTGTCCGTACAGAAGCTGCAGGACATGGACGAACGCAGGGCTGCCCGCCTGGGGGCCGGCTACGGGCTCTTGTCAGCGGCGGAGCTGCAGGTGGTGCCCATCATCGCCAAGTGCCTGGAGGGCATGAAGGTGGCTGCAGATGCCGTGGACCCCAAGAACGTGGGTGCCTGGTCGGGGGCTGCCCAGCAGGCAGAGGGAGGCTCCCCAAAGACCGGGCACTTCATTGTGCCCCTGATGGCAAAATGCCACCCACTGTGCCGTCCCCCCAGGACTCCCAGGTCCTCATAGAGCTGCACAAGTCGGGTTTTGCCCGGCCGGGCGACGTGGAATTCGAGGACTTCAGCCAGCCCATGAACCGAGCGCCCTCGGACAGCAGCCTGGGCACCCCCTCGGACGGGCGGCCCGAGCTCCGGGGCTCCGGCCGCAGCCGGGCCATGCGCTGGCCCTTCGGCAAGAAGAACAAGGTGGGGGCCGGGGCCCTTGGGGTGGGGGCGCGGGAGGACAGTTGGTGGGGACAAGCGGGGCCCCTACTGAGTCAGCCCCAGCCGCCTGAACGCCGAGTCCTGGGCAGGAATTTTCCTCTTGGCAGCCGGCCCGGGCTGGAGGGAAGGAAGGCGGGCGGCCGGTTGGCCTGGGCGTCCCCCGAGGCGGAGGGGGGCTGGGGGGGAGGCCGGGCGTCTGTCTGCTGCTTCTCAGGATGCTGGGAGAAGACCTGCAGATGGAATTCTGGGCTGGCCTGAGGGCCAGAGACGCGGTCCCCGGGGGACTTCCCGGGAGTTTCTCTGGGTCCCCGCCCCGCTCGCTGTGTTTTCTTGGGGTTTTTTGGCTTTCGATGTCAGGGATATATCTTGATACCCTTGGTTTATGCCTTTAACAACTCTCGGCCGGGCGCGGTGGCTCACGCCTGTAATCCTAGCACTCTGGGAGGCCGAGGCGGGAGGATCGTTGGAGGTCAGGAGTTCGAGACCAGCCTGAGCAAGAACGAGACCCCTGTCTCTACTAGGAAATAGAAAGAAATTAGCTGGACAGCTAAAAATATATAG